AAGCTTTATTTTTAAAAAGTTTTTTAAATGTTTATTTATTATTTTGAGAGAGAGAGAGAGAGAGAGACAGAATCCCAAGCAGGCTCTGTGCTGTCAGCACAGAGCCGGATGCGGGGCTCGATCCCATGAACCAAGAGATCATGACCTGAGCTGAAATCAAGACTGAGCCACTGACGCTCAGCTGACTGAGCCACCCAGGCACCACTTTAATTCTAGACGGGGCTAACTCTGTCACTCTACTGTCCTGAGTGGAAGCAGGCAATACTGGGTGTCCAGAGCCTTCTGGCCAGTTTGCTGTCGAAGTTACACAGACCAAACTTCACGGAAGAGAATTTGTACAACGTCTAAAATGACAAGAGATTATCGAAATCTGAAAAAAATGAAGAAAACAGTAGGAAACCCTAATGAAAAGCAGACAATTCAAAAGCAGCTCACATGGGAAAATGTGTCTGTGTGTGTGTGTGTGTATGTGTGTGTGTATTTATGCAAAGGTTTCTGTATCTAAAACACCAAAAAAACCCATATAACTTTTGTTAGTCACACACATGCACAATGGTGCCCCTGGTCCGTAACTCGTGTTAACGGTATATAGGCCCTTTTATTATCTTTTGGCTATTTAGAAGTTTTGAATTTTAGGGATTCTTTCTGTCCTCAGGGTGAAACCCCAGGAGCCAGGCTTCAAGAACCTCTAAAAAAAAAAAAAAAAAGGAGTTTTGAATTTTTTTTATTTTTTTTTATTTTAAAAAAAAATTTTTTTTTTCAACGTTTATTTATTTTTGGGACAGAGAGAGACAGAGCATGAACAGGGAAGGGGCAGAGAGAGAGAGGGAGACACAGAATCGGAAACAGGCTCCAGGCTCTGAGCCATCAGCCCAGAGCCCGACGCGGGGCTCGAACTCACGGACCGCGAGATCGTGACCTGGCTGAAGTCGGACGCTTAACCAACTGCGCCACCCAGGCGCCCCAGAGTTTTGAATTTTAATGTAGTTGAAATTATATGTCTCATTTAAGAAATCTTTCCTTACCCAAGTTTATAGATATGTTTTCCAATATATTTTTTGAAACTTTAAGGTTTTGATATTCATTATTTACATTTTTTTAAATTAATTTTTTTTAATGCTCATTTATCTTTGAGAGAGACAGAGTACGAGAGGGGGAGGGGCAGCGAGAGGGAGACACAGAACCCGAAGCAGGCTCCAGGCTCCGAGCTGTCAGCCCAGAGCCCGACGCGGGGCTCGAACCCACGAACCTTGAGATCATGACCTGAGCCGAAGTCGGATGCTTACCCGATTGAGCCACCCAGGCGCCCCTAAATTGTTTGCTTTAAAATGGTTAACTTTATATTATGTGAATTTCATCTTAGTAAAAAGTATACTTATTTTAAAAAGAGGTAAGAGGCACCTGGGTGGCTCGGTAGGTTGAGGGTCTGGCTCTTGATTTCGACTCAGGTCATGACCTCACGGTTCAGGGGATCGAGCCCTGCATCAGGCTCAGGGAGGAGCCTGCTTGGGATTCTCTGTTTCCCTCTGCTCCCCCCCAACTAGCTCTTGCAAACTCTCTCTCTCTCTTAAAACAAATAAATAAAAAAACACAAAATAAGATAAACTGAAAAAGAAACCCTCTCTTACTGGCACCAGCAAAGCTGCATCATGTCTGCCGTCATGTTGCGTTTCTGGGGACCATGTTCCCTTTGGGACACCTGAGGGGGGAGAGATGTCCTCACTGTCCCTCCCCCATGTCCGCCCTGGCCTGGCACCCGGTCCCCATCATCACCAACAGAGGGTGCCCAGAGAGTCCTGATGCACAGCCGGGGCGTGCCCTCAGCCCACATTTGGGGAGTACCGGGGACAGGGAGAACCACAGGGCCATCACCCTGAACCAACATCTCGGACATCATGACGCCATATTGTTCAGAGGAACGTGTACCCATTCGGTGCGTGTTCACGGCTTTGTTTGTGCTGTGGGCACACGGACTCGGGACATGCATGTGTCCTGCTTCCGACAACGGCTCGGGACTTCGGGGGCTCCTTCCTAATGGCTGCGAGTTCCGGACAGTCGTTGGTTGTCGCACACGTTCACAATCTGGACGTCACAGGCAGGCTTGCTGGACGGAGGATTGTGTCACTACCTCGGCCGCCCACACCACGCCGACCGTCCGCAGCCGTGGATCTTTCTAAGGGAGTCACTGCCGTCGTCAGGTGCCCTACCTGCTTCTGGGAACATAGGAAGTTTATTCCAGAAAGCAATAAAAAAAAAAAAAAAAAA